GTTGAGTGGTTATTGCTACCAACAAATGGTCACAAACATATCTTGAAAAGAAAAAAGGCTTCAATGCCATCAGGGCATAACCTGACTGGAAACAACTAAATGTCAAGCTCTTCTATAATAGAGGAAACAGAAAAAGCAGGAGCAAGTTTCCTTCCCCAACACAGGCCATATTTGCTTGCTTCATTCTTTAATCATCTTTACTGACAGCTGGCCCAGCTGTGATAGACTTGCCATGTTTTTATCCCAAAACTATCTGTATATTCAGTGACCTAGATTACAGGATTTGTCTGTATTTCATACCTGCCCGCCTCCTGTTGCTCCCATTTTCCTGTGTGTTTTTGAATGGCCATGAGAAGCTGGTTGGCCTTTCATCTTCCACCTTTTCATCACACCTTGAAATCCCCAGTCAATTCTTTGTTCACGAGAAAAAAAGAATGCATTACGTTACCAGAAACTGAAATCCAAGTAGTATTTGAAAGAGGATCACTAAGCAGCAGTTGCTAGCAAATTTCCTAAGCAGGGAAAGAGCACATAGACCACCAGAAAAATTTAAAGACCAATAAATAAATGCTGAAAGTTACATCTCTGGCTAACTCTTTAAAAAGTAAGTTATAGATGTTTTAATGGGTTCAAAATGAAGATGGAAGAAAGTAACCTACGTGACTCCTTGAATTTTAACATGCTGACCAGGATAGAAGTGAGCTGCATAAAGGGGTGTTCCTGTTAAAATTAAAACAAAGTATAAACACAGCAACTCAAACCAAATATCAATTATGGAATGGCCTCATTTGCTTGCAGAGGGTAATTTTCACCTCCAGAAGGTGACTTTTCCGTGCTGTATCAGTATTCTATTATCTCAAATGCAGCATTGAAACCAGATAAATTAGTGATCAACTTTAAAGATCTATTTTCCTTTTTCATACCAGGATGAAGAAGACCATTTTCTGTAACAGGAAAACTTGCCACCTTTTTCTTTGGATTGATGCCATATTTCTTGAAGTGTCCATATTGAGATTTTCTGACCTATATGGCAAAAAAGGGGAAGATTAATTTGATAATACTGTAAAGAGGGAGGTATGATGACCTAGACAGGGTCAGGGCAAAATTTTTCAGCAGTGAATGCCAGATGTTTAATTAATTACAATGAATCAAGAACACTAATTTTTGCAAGTGCTTGAGACAAAGTTACAGTTCAAGTTGCAGTTGCCTTGGTGAGAGGCCTTACAATCTAGTGAAAATTGGAAGCTGGAATGGTAAGTACCATCACAGACTCAAAATGACTGCAGTTAGAAATATGAGAATATTTCCATTGTCTCCCAGTTCTGACTATGTTAATGCAACACCTATGATTTGGTGAATAAGCCAGAAAAGCAGTTCTTAAGGTTCTTGAAATCTTACAAGTCCAGCAATTCTGTTTTCACTAAATTTTAGGCCAAAGAGTCATCAAAAGTATTAGCATTCCACTTTCAATTCTGTTACTTTGATTTTTACTTGATTGTATCATTCTGGGCCCAGTTGTATAAAGGGCAGATAATACTATCCAACAGATAAATAGCTCTCCAGCAGATAAGTGATAAAAAAATGTATAGTGTTATCCACTGGATAGAGATTTATCTAGAGGATAGAGTTAACCAACGTTCAAACAACTAGGGCCTGCACTCCTGACTACCACCCAAACTTGACCTCCAACATAACCAAAAACCAGCCTTAAACAAAATTTGTCTATATTTAAGAACATTTTATCTAAATTTGCTGAATCACTAATCACTCAACTCTTACAAGTGATTAAAAAGAAAAAAAAAAGAGGAAAGAAAAATGTATCAGCTAGAGTAATAATTTAACACCAGATTTCTGAACTTAATTATGAGGAAATCTATGGCACCTTGAGGGAAGAATTAGGAACCAGCACATGGAGGTTTATTTTACTCACATTATACAACTGAGTTTCTTCCACTGCTCCAACCTGAAGCTCTGTTGAATCATCTCTGCCACCAAGTTCTCTGCTGATTCTTGTTGCAACAACTTGACAATCCTTAATCTAAGAATTAATTTTTATAACAGTTAACCTGTAACTGTTATAATGATGACCTCGGCATTGATAATTCATGATATCATGCTCCACTTTATGCAATAATTGCTCATTATCATCATTATTAATATTATTATTAATCAGTAAATCATAAAAGTCAGAGGGGTGAAAAAAAGTAATTTGAACTCCAATCTTAAGCCGTTATTACCTCAACCAGGGTGACAGGCTTCCTTGTTCCATCCTTGAGCCACAAACAACTCATTCCCTGCTTGACTCCTACCAACCCAACCCGTTTAGATTCAGGAGTCCATTGAGCGTCCACAGGATTTATACACACTGGAACTCTGGATCGGATTTTTCGTGATTTTTCAATTTCTTGTTCGACATAATCTTGAGAAATAGGCTTTTTCCTGGGACCTTGCAGTAAAGTAGGTTCCACCTCGTAAACTTCTAGTAGATTCCTAGGTGAATCTCCCTTTGTATCAACTTCTTCTGGCTGTGCTTCTGCGCTATAAAATCGTCTCTGTGTCGAAAGTGTTACTCTGAAGGTATTTCTGTTGAAAGCTGAGGTACTTATCTTACGTAAAGCTGAATGAGTGTTGGACAAAACCCGTAGAGTCCATCCCAGGCGAAGCGGACCACGAGAGGTCGCCATGTTGGATCTCCTTTCCAGCCTCTTTCATTCGGA